TGAGATTTTGGTTTCAGTGATACTTGCAATAGAGATATTGTGGTGGATACAATAATCCTGCCAGATTTGTCTTTTAGTAGCCACATTAAAACCTCAAATGTTATGAGTAGCAATAGTAAGATGTAGGTCACGGGGTTAGATTGTGCTAAGTGTGAAGGTGAATTAGTAGGAAAGAGAGAAGTTTTAATAGGGAATTTGTAATAGATTGGGTATTGTTGAGGAGGGAGTAGAGTATGGCCTGGTAAGATAATATTGCTAGTGTTGAGATATATATGAGTTTCAAGTGTTATAATATTAACAGAGATTTTGAAAGGTTGAACAAATAAGTTTTTGAGAAGGTGTTGAAGAAATGATTTGAGTGTTTGTGGAGATGGAAGGAGGGGGTGATTGTATTTGTAGAGAAATTTGTTGAAACATGCCTCCTCAATAGGGTAGGATGAATTGTTAATTGAGAAGGAGAGAAGAGGGTCTTCTGCAAATTCGCTTGCCATATGCCCAGTTCTCATGGCTGTGCAAGATGCCAAAGTCTGCTCTGTGCATTAAGTCTGACTGTCATTTATTGGCTCTTCCACATAAATAGGCTTTCCCACCTGCCTACTTACATCATTCTCTATATTAAATACTATAGATATATCTTTTAATATAGCAGCGGCTGCATTCATGTTACTTGCAGAAGACAATTTTAAAAAGAAGGTGATTGAGTAGATGTTGTCTGTAAGATTTCTGAACCTTCTATAGTTGTTTGTGAAGTTTCTAGGCCTTCTATGGGGATTGGGTTACTTGATAGAAGTGTAGGTTGAGTAGAAAAGGAATTTTCAGTTAGAACTTGTTCAGGTTTAGGTTTTTTGGTATTGAAGTTTGGGTTAAAGAATAAGTCATCATCAAGATTGAGTTTTGTTTGTAGTTTGAATTTGGAAATAAAGATTTTTGTTGCTTCTGGTAAAAATTTAGAGTTGAATAATTTGCGGATTTCAGGGAAGAAAATTGTTAGATTTTTTAAGATATGGAAATAAATAAGAGAACGTGCAAGAGTATATGTATTAAAGGATTTTTTTGTAATTTTTTCTATAACCTGGTTATTGTTTAGTTCAATTATTTCATCATTTTTTGCAGCTGCATTTAGGTAAGCCCTAAAGTAGCT